AAAAAAAATTTTCAAAAACAAAAAAAATATTTTTCACCTTTTTTTTTTTCAATGCAAAACACTGAAAAATGCATAGAACTGTTAATGTTAAACGATAAAATGGGGTTTAAGTTATTTTCTAATACTAAGTGTTAGAAAATAATTCTACCTAAGTTGTATAGATTATTTTTTAGTGTTTGGTACTAGAAAATACTTATGTCCAATTGTTTAAGGTTATTTTTTAGTGCTTGGTACTAGAAAATACTCTTGTTTAATTGAGTTAAGTTATTTTATAGCACTTAGAACTTAAAAATAAATTTATTAAGAAGTTTAGAAACCAAATATTCAAGTATCTTTTCTTTTTAAAAATTCAAAATGTTGTCTATATTATTTTCCAGCACTAAAATAATTTTACCTAAAGCTTGAAGTTTAACATTCAAGTGCTATTTTTTCCTTCTAAAATTTTCAAAATCTCACCTATATTATTTTCCAATGTTAAGCCATGAAAAATAATATTTATCTATATAAACCTCCAACCTTTCCTACTTTAGCATTTTCTCCCATCTTCTTCTTTCTTCTCTTTCATTTTTCTCATACCTTATCCAAATTCACTTTCCTTTTTCTCCTCTCTTCCTTAACTCCACTCATATGTTTCACTTTCTCATCTTAATCTTTCCTTTCCTCTTCTCTCTGTTTCCTCTTCTTTTTCCTTTTCCTTTCATCTTCATTTCTTATACTTTCCTTCTTGCTTTTCTCTTGTTCTCTCCATTCCTCTTCCTTTTCTTCCTCCTCCTCTTTTAATATGTTACTTGAAATAAGAGGTACTATTCATTTCAATTTATTGGTAGTTTAATTTTTAATTTTCTTCATCTTTTTCTTTATCAATAAACTCTCATATAAATTACTAATTAAAATTGTTTAATGTATTTCAAGTGTTTTTATGAATTACATGGAATTGAGGTATATTTATGTATTTAATTTTATTTATTGGACAATATTTATTTAAACATATGTATTATGTAATGTTTTATATATGATTGTGTTTATAAAGTAAATATAATTTTTCGTGTAATTAATTTTATTATATTATAAAGTAGTGTCTTATTATTAACATTTTATGTATTTGATTTCTTTGATTTTAATTATTATATGTGTTTTGTATTTATTTAGTATGTGTTTTAGATTTTTATATATAATCTTCTTTTTTATATAATCTTGATTAATATATAATACTGTTATATGGTTAATTTTATTTATATTAAATATTATTTTGTATTTATAAATATTTGTTAATGATATATAATTATAGTAATGTATAAATAATTTTAAAAAAATGAAATTTGATTTTCCAATGCTCAGTGTTGGAAAATAATGACTATCTTTCCAGTGTTCAATGCTAAAAAATAGTAGGTATGCTTGTTGGTATCAACTATCTCCCAGTGTTGAGTGGTTGAAAATAAGTGGTATGCTTTTAAGATACCAACTATTTTCAAACACTAAATGTTTGAAAATAAATAGTAACAGTAGCTTAAAACACATTATGGGTCCCTCGTTGCCCATTATTTTCCAACACTCAACGTTGGAAAATATTAGGGCAATTTTTTTTGCGCTAAAGAATAACTGCTTGGCATTTTTTTTCGTCAACCTTTTCCAGTGCACAACATTGGAAAATAAGCATTTTTAATGCATTTTAAGTATTTTCTAATGTAAAATGCATTGGAAAATAACATTTGTTTTAGTAGTGTTACTCACTCAGGATATGTATTAAGAAAACTCTTATGGTACTTTTTACATGTATTTGAGGTGATATTATTTTATAGAATATAAAAGATAATTTGAAAATTATTTATAAAATAGAAAAAAGTGTATATTAGTTTCAACTCTCAAAATAAATTGGAGTTATAACCTGAAATTACATCATTTTATTTAAATAAAACACAATTCAAAATTTAAAAATATATCTTATTCAATATTGATATTTAGATTTATAAAATAATTATATTAGAATATATAATTTGTTTCTAAATTTAAGTATCAACATTTAATAAGGTGAATTTTTTAATTTTAAATTAAGATTTCAATTCGTAAATGTAGGTTGAAATTCTAATTTGTTTAAGTGTCTGACTGATACATACTAATCTTTATAAAACAATAGTATTTAATAAGAACTTTATATTAATTTTTTTTTAAAATTATTATTTGTATATTATAGAAAAATATCACATAAAAATTCTTGTGATGATTTATGTAGAAAACTATCTTAAAAACCACATAAACATAACTTTTTTATGTTAATAAATTTCACTTTGGTTAAAAGAAGTTAACATATCATTCTCCATAATTTTGGGACACTCTTTTTTACTCTACTTTAGGCTCAAATGAAAGCACACCTTGCATATCATTTTCTATATTGTTCGAACAGTTTTGTTAGGTTGAGTACAGGGCAAACATAACCAAACACGCATACTTTAAGTGCTAGATTGAGTTTCCCATTAGAAGACTCACTCCCATTACAAGAGATCGTCCTCCCATTTTTGTTTTCAAATTGTTATTTTTTTGTATGAATTTAGGGATATTAGTTGAATAGCATAATTAATGTTAGCTAGAGTAAAATTTTTTACGAGACTTTTTAAGAGCCTCAATGTTAGAATGGAGAATTTTGTAATTGAGTTTGAATGAAATAATATCAATGAGAATATGATGACATTTAAGAGAATCCTTTATACATGGCTCTTTATATTACAGATGCTCCTAATAGAGTAATTATTTTCTTTTCTCTTTTTCAAAGTTCAAAATAAGTTTGTTGAATATATATGTAAGAGATGTTGTGAGTGAATCTAATATATATATGATCAACTATTATTAACAATTTGAGATTAAGTTTTTTAGGGCCTATAGACCTTGATTCCAAAGAATTGTTAGACTATTGATAGATTTCAACTCAAGTTGTTTCAATTGATATCAAAGAATTCAAATCTCTCAGGTGTAGACTTATGTTGATCATCATGGATAGTGGTAGTATGGACTTCACAATTCACGTTACTTGAGGTGGAGTCTTGTATTTGTAGTCTTGTTGGCCTTGTTTAAGGGAGGGAGATTGTGATGTCTTAAATCCCATGTAAGCCTCAGTTAAGTAAGGGAGAGTGTGATGCCTTGAATTTCATATTTGGGAGGAAGTATGAGTGAATTTGATATGTAAATGGCTAGCTATTACTAACAAATTGAGCTTAAATTTTGGAGTTCTCGTGGACTTTAGTTTAAAGAATTGTTAGGCCAGTAACCCATGTTGTTTCAAAAGTGTTATGCAGTTACAACTTAAGTATAAGTTTTCAAAATTCCATAAATCTTAACTCAAAAAATTTGAAAGGCCAATGGCCCAGCTCATTTCCAAAGTATACTATTGGATAAAGGTAGGGTCTTTAATATTAGGGATTGATTTACATCTAAAAATTCTCATTTTATAACCTAGTGATAGTGTAGTGTGAGTTGCAAAATATGAAACTCTTAGATAAAAGAGCGATTTGTGTCTTGTCTTACATATATATAGAGAGAGAGGAACCTTTGAGGTGGTTATAGCACTGTTCAAAATGCATACATCAGTTGCATGCATCATGGACGTAATTACGAAAGATTTATATTATAGAAGTGCAAACGTTTATAAAACTCATACAACTTATCAACTTCTAAATGAATTTGTTGATGAAAACCGAAATTGCATGAGTCATGAGCTATGACCCTTTGACTGTGACATCATACCAATAAATGTTTTTTGCTACATCTCAAGTTTAGCTACGTGATATACCTATAATTTTTTTGTTATATCTCAAGTTTAGCTACATGATATTTTAAGTATTGAATTTTTAACATTGACTCTAAATTAAGATTTTTTTAATTTAATAAAATTGTTAATTAGGCAAAGCTCTTTATGATTTAATATTCTAACCCTAACTATTAACTAGTTTACTGGGTGGTTTACTTATCCCAAATAATAGGCCGTATCCTTTGTTCCACGTTCCTTGAAGGGCAAACCTCGACTTTAGAAGCTTCATGAATCTAACTTCAACTTTTAGGCCTTTAACACTTAAGAAGATGAAAACAATATTCAGAAAAATCAGAAGCTCATTTAAGAAAACTTTCATTTTACATAACTAACTTCATCATTTGCAGCAAAGAAGTTTTTTCCCAAGCCGAACAGGCATTCATTTAATTTTGTGTTACCTATTTCTAAATGGTTAGTGATTTTTTGCCCTAGAAAATAAAATTTATTATTCTCTTATAACTAAATACACATATTTAAAATAATTGTCAAAAAAAAGAGGAAATTTTTATCTTTTCATTAAATATCATCTAAAGAAAATTGAAAAGTGAAATATAAAATATAAAGAAATTTCAATAAGATTTTATAGAGATACAATATTAACTATTAAAGAATATTAAAAAGTAAATTTAAAAAAAATGAGAGAGAGGGAGAGAGAGAGTAAGAGGAAGCGGACATCGATCAAGGGCAGGAAGGACAACACAAGGAAATGAGCAAGAGAGATCCCGAGGAAAAAGTCGGCATTGGAGGAACAGTTCAATACGACGGCGGCCAACGCAAGATGATCAAGAGCAAGACCAGAAGTCTCGAAAAGGAGGAGCATATGATAAGGGCTTATATGAACAAGCTATACCATTTTTCTTTACCAATTTTCCAAACGACTAGAGCTATGCTGATATGTGGAGCACTTTCTTGAAATTTGGAAGAGTCTATGCCATCTATAGCCCAAAAATGAGGAGCAAGAATGGTAATAGATTTGGATTTGTGAGATTTTTGAATGTTGAAGACAAAAAGGAATTGGAAAAGAAACTCGATCAAATATGGATCAGAGATCGTAAGCTGTGGGTGAATGCACCACGATATGATGCTATGCAGAAAAAGGATATGGAATGAAGAAAACATCAAGAATGGGAGCAAAAAATTGTTCATGAAGTGAAGCCAAATACACAGAACAAAACCTACGCTGATGTGGTGAAAGGATTACGATGTGAACATAACAGGAAAATCTGGCAAGAAAAAGGAAAGGGGGAGAATTGGTTAGGCATGGAGTACAAGGTGAAACCTAAAGAATATGCGTGGCTTGAGGGAAGTTATGTGGGTATAGTTCACTCTGTTGAGATGGTCAGGAACTTGCAGGAGAAGTTTTATATGGAGTGTTATTTCTCATGTTGAATTTGAGCCATAGGGGGCAAATTAGTGTTGCTTGACGGTGAAGACAAAGAGGAGTTAAAGGATCTAGTGGAGATGGCATCAAATTGGCTAGGGCAGTGGTTTGAAGAGGTATGCCCTTGGTCACCAGATAAGATAGCTAATGAAAGGTTTCTGTGGGTAAGATGCCAAGGAGCACTATTGAATGTTTGGGGACCAAATTTCTTTGCAACAATGGGTAGCTCTTGGGGGAAGCTTATATGCTTGGATGATAGTACAAGTAGAAGAATGATGTTCGACATTGCAAGGTTCTTGATATCCACCTCGATCATGGATACAATAGCAGTTACACGCTAGATCAAGATCAATGGGTATATATACAGTATTAGGTTCATGGAGGAGGAGTTCACCAACAACTTCTTTTCCTTGAAACAAGACTTCCTACCAGCATTCCAATCGAAAGAATATGAATCATGGTTGACTGATAGCACCAAAGAGGACCATGAAATCAAAGATACAAACATAAGGAAGCAAGCTAAGGGAAGAATCGTTGATGAAGAGGAGGAAGAAGATGACGTGGCAAGCTGCAGGAGGGAAAGCAATGGTAAAATCTAGCCACAAGTTTCAAAAGAGAGTGAGAAGACAACTGAAGTAGTGACTAACAACCTACAACAAATTCAAATTATAAATGATGGAGAGCATAGAGAAAGGGCAGAAAAGGCAGCACAGAAGAGTGGGAATGAGGATTTAGGTGTAAGTACCGATGAAGATGAGGAAAAGCAATTGGGCCTAGTGGGATACATTGATAGGAAGCAAGTTGAAAAAGAAAACAAAAAGGATGGCTATTCGGATGGTGAGGAATTAGTAAATATGGGCCAAGCCCAAGAAAGATTTGCGGGGATAAGCCCATGTACTATTACAAGGAAGGCTAGAACCAGAAAAAAGAAGGAAATTATGGTCATTAGCGATGAAGAAAGAGGGGATTTTTTCTAGAAGGATCCCGAGAGCAATGAAGGTTGTCTAGAGGATTGGATGAAGAGGCGTGAGATGGGAAACTAGAAGATGAGGAGAAAAATCAAAACATGTAGATCGGTATACCTGAAAGACCGAACCAGCTATGAGGTAATGCGAAGGAAAAGAAGGCGAGGAAGATGGAGTAGATAGGCAGCGGAGGGGACAATGGTGCTAGAATTCCTTACGAGCCCCAACGGTGAAATTATTAGTGATTCTGTTAATGACAGTGGGATATAGAATTGTAATAGATCCTTGAAGAAGTAGATGCGAAATCAGCTTGCTAAGGAGATTTGGGAGCTGGCCAAACAACTAGGTGCAATAGCAGAGGTTGATGAAGAGGTAATTTGAAGAATAAAAGATATGGAGAAAAGAGACAGCCAAGCAAAAGCAGATGTGGTGAGGTAGGAAGCAGGAGGTATGAATAAGGTATGTATTGAATCCAATGATAATGTTATCATTTCATATTAGAAGGTTAGTAGGGGTTGGGAAGAAAAGATATATCAAGGAGTTAGTGCAGAAGGAGAAGGTGGAATTCTTAGCAATTCAAGAGACCAAAATGGAGGTTATTGACAGAAACTTGTGTAGAAGGGTATGAGGGATTGAGGATTTTGATTGGGTAGCCAAGCCATCAAACAGCTTGTCTGGAGGATTGTTATGTATGTGGAGTACTAAAGTATTTAAAAAGGAAGAGGTGATAGAGAGGGAGTATTTCATTGGGGTATTTGGGTCATAGGGAGAGGAGGCAACACTTGTCTACATTCTTAACATATACTATCCATGTTAATTGTCGGGTAAAAGAGCCTTTTGGGAGAATCTGCAGAACTTGATCTCAAGTAGGAAGGGTAACTGGTGCCTAGGAAGGGATTTTAATGCTGTTCGATGTACAGGAGAGCGGGTAGGATGCGGTTGGATATCTAGAGAAATGAGGGAGTTCGATTGCTTTATTAAAGAAGCTGGATCAGTTGATCTACCTTTGATTGGTAGGAAATACACCTGGTATAATTCTAATGGCCAGTATATGAGTAGGATTGACAGGTTCTTGTTATCTGAAGATTGGCTCTTAAAATGGTGTGATGTAAAGTAGTGGGGTTTGAAAAGATTTGTGTCAGACCATTGTCTTGTTCTGTTGAAGAATGAGAAGATGGATTGGGGGCCTAAACCTTTCAAATTTTTTGATGCTTGGTTATAGCAACCTGGGTGCATGGAGATGATTAGAAATGTATGGAAATCAATGGTGGTAGAGGGGTGGAATGGATTTAGACTCAAGGAGAAGCTAAAAAATACAAAAAAAGGTTTAAAAGAATGGAGTGACAAACAAATGTTAAATGTGGACAAAAAGATACTTGAAGTTGAGAAGATAATAGCCCTAATAGATGAGAAAGGCGAGAATGGCCACTTGTCACTAGAGGACATTGAAAAGAGGAGAAGATGTTTTATTGATCTGTGGGACATCTTAAAACTTAAAGAGAACATGTGGCAACAAAAATCAAGGATGATGTTGTTAAAAGAAGGAGATGCAAACACCAAATTCTACCACAATAGTGTGAAAGGAAAATGGAGAAAAAATGAAATCAATAATATTTAGATTAACAGAGAACAACATAGAGGGGTGGCTGAAATAAAAGAAAAGGTGGCTAATTATTTTGAGGACCTATTTACAGAAGAGAGGTGGCAAAGACCTAAGCTTGATGGCATCACTTTCCAACAGATTGACATGGCTAACAATGAGTTCCTCACAGCTTCATTTTCTGAAGAGGAGATAAAAAATGATGTTTGGGATTGTGAGTCTTCAAAATCTACAGGCCCAGATGGTTTTAATTTCAAATTTGTGAAAAGCATGTGGGAAGACATAAAAGCTGAGATAGTTGGGTTTGTTAAGGAGTTTCATGAACATGAGAAGCTAGTAAAAGGATCAAACACCTCCTTTATAGTTCTAATCCCTAAGGTTGGAAATCCCTAAAGGATTGAAGAATACAGACCCATCTCACTTATTGGGGTTATATATAAGATAATTGCAAAGTTGCTAGTAAACCGTCTTCGAAAAATGTTGAACAAGATTATCGGGGAGCAATAGATGGCATTTATAAGGGGCAGACATCTGATGGATGGAGTGGTGATTGCGAATGAAATGATTGATGAGGTGAAGAGGAAGAAAAAGAATAGCTTTTTGTTCAAAGTTGACTTCAAAAAAGCATATGACAAGATGAGTTAGGAATTGTTAGATTATATGTTGCTGAAAATGGGGTTTTGTGATAGCTGGAGGAAGTGGATTTAGGAGTGCTTTTAGTCTAATATGGTATCAATTCTAGTTAACGGAAGTCTTTCAAGGCAATTTTCAATTAGCACGGGCATTTGTCAAGGCGACCCACTTTTTCCTTTCTTATTCTTGATTGTGGCAGAGGGATTGAATGTGCTTGTGTCTTCTATGGTTCAGAGGGGTTTATACAAAGGTGTGACAGTGGGTAATGAAGTTGTGACGGTGACCCACTTACAATTCGTGCATGATACAATATTTTTTGGGGAGGCAACAGAAGACAACATAGGGGTGATTAAAAGCATAATGAGGACCTTTGAGCTGGTTTCTGGATTGAAAATTAATCTTGCAAAGAGCCAACTTATGAGTATTGGTGTTGAAGACGACTGGGGAAGTAAAATGGCATATAGATTATGGTGCAAAGAAGGGGAACTTCCTTTTAAATACTTGGGGATTCCCATTGGTGAGAAACATAAAAGGCTTGTAGTGTGGCAGCCTTTGTTGGATTCCGTTAAAAAGAAGCTAACGAGCGGGAAAGGTCGGTATCTTTCTCTTAGAGGTCGAATCACGCTCATTAACTCTGTGTTGTCTAGCTTGCCCATGTTCGTAATGTATGTCTTCCTAATCCCTAAAGGTACTCTCATCTCCATTGATAAAATGTGTATCTGTTTTTTATGGGGTGGGGAGGAAGAAGGAAAAAAAATTAATTGGGTTAAATGGGAAAAGGTGTGTAAGAATAAAGAGTATGGTGGGCTAGGAGTGAGGGACTTGAGGAAGTTTAACTTGGCATTAATGGGTAAATGGTGGGGGCCATTAGCAACATGTGAGGAAGGCTTGTGGAAGAAAGTTATAGTAGCTAAATATGGTGAGGGAGGGAGACATTGGACGGATTGGGTTAGAAACGAAGTAGGAGCTAGTTCAATATGGTGGAAAGATATCCAGGGTATTAATAATGTGGAGGGGGAGAATGCAGGGTGGTTATTGGAGGGTTTTAAATTGAAGTTAAGGGAGGGGAAGAATGTGAGTTTTGGTGGGATGAGTGGTGCGGAGAGGGATGTCTTGCTAATAGATTCCTGAGATTGTACTTATTATCTACAGGAAAGGAAAAAGATTGCATTCAAATGGGCAATATGTACAACGGAACATGGAAATGGAACCTCACATGGAGAAGGAATCTGTTCAAACGAGAAGAAGAGGCTGTCATGGAACTTAGTAGAATGATTGAGGAAGTGAAAGTAACTCCCGGCTATCCTGATAAATGGGAGTGGACTCACAGCAAGGATAGCCATTATTCAACTCCAACTGCATACTCACTTTGATAAAAGAGCAAAGGAACCCAATTGAAGCACAAATATTTAACAGAGTATGGAACCCCATTATCCCAAGGAAAATCTCTGCTTTCAACTAGCAATTATTGCTGGAGAAAATTCCAACTAAGTCCAACTTAATGAAAAGAGGGATTGACAAAAACATGGGAGATGGCAAATGTGATTTCTGTGAGGAAGAGATTGAAGATGCAAACCATTTGTTTCTGAAATGCAGAATAACTAAATGCTTATGGAAGGAGTGTGCCACATGGTGGGGGATCAATATAAGGATGGACAATGACTGTTGGAAGACATTTGATCAACTTGGAGCATGGACTAGAGACACACGCATCACAAAAGGATGGAACTGCATCTGGAGTGCAATAGTTTGATTCGTTTGGCTCACACGAAACAGGAAGATTTTTCATAATCAGGAGGTTAACACAAGTAAGTTGCTGGAACATGTCTAGTTGAAATCTTTTGCATGGATTAAAGCTAGAAAAGCCAGGTGTTACTTTAATCTTTCAGACTGGTTAATTATTCCTATTGCATGCCTTACTATTAATTGTGGGAGAAAAAAGATAGGAAGGAAGGGTCTAAAAGATGGAATTAACACTAAAGGGCTTGAATGTTGGTGTTGCTTGATGTAAGGATGGGTTGAGTACCCCTTGTACTCTTTAGTAATAAAATTCTTTTGCTATTAAAAAGAAAAAAACTATTAAAGAATATTTGAATAGAATTAAGTGAAAATTAATAGATGTATTTTAATAAATTCTTAAATAAATATCTAATTTTTCTAAAATTTATTATACTACTTATATTTAAAAAAAAAGTAAAAACGCATTTAAAAAAATTTTAAATTATTTGTTAATTCGAATAGAATGAGTTTAATTTTATTAAATAAATTCTTTAAGTTTGAGTCTTATGAATGAAAAATAGTCATTTAAAACAATTGATTTTAAATTAATTAGAGTTTAATATAATCTTCAAATACTAAAAAATTAATATGAAAAATAATTGGAAAGACCAGTGGAGCCGTGGCCCTTTCTGATCTCCAAGTGGCTCCGCCATCGGGTGGTGGCTTGTTTAGAATTGCAAAAGAAAAAGCAAGGGTGTAAAATAGTTGGAAACAAAAACGTAACCAAGCCAGATAGACGTCCAATAACTGCTCAAAACTCACTCCAATCTACCCCTACCAATTTCTTAATTTTCTTCCAATAAGATTCTTGTCGATGAAGAAGGTGTTGGTGGATTTCATTGAAGCAGCTTAGAAGACGGTGGATTAGGCAGCGACTAACGA